AATCACAGTTAGAGCTTCCAAAGTTTATAGCACACTAACCATAGAAAACTAATAATAGATACTCTTTTTTGGCACGTTGAATTGGTTACATTTATAGGTGTGTGGAGTCTTTCTAGAAAATTCAGATTATGTAACAATACAAAACTACATTTAAGCATTTACGTACATTCATACATTGTTGATTCTTACTCTAGAGAATCTTCTACAACTTTGGAGAATAGGCAGGAGTTTCACAATATATATTTAACAGTATAAATTATGTATGTTTATAAATATAAATTTAATCTACACAAATGTCAATATTAGAATAAATATGTAATACCAAATTTGTTACAATGTTTACTAAAAGCTTGCCAAATTTCATTAAGATATACATAGTAAGTTCAGAGTTATAGTACTTATAGTTTCAGTGTTGGAATTTTTCCTTTTCAGTTTGGCTTACCAAAAAAAAATATATATATATTTTCTTGGACATACTGGACATTTACATTGTTTTGCAGTTAAATATTTGTTACTCTTCCTGTTCATAATGTGAATAATCTTAGTATTAATAACATGCTTTGGCAGTAAGTAATAATTTGAACTTGTGCATGTAGTTTTATTGGATTTAAGGTATATCATTATCAAATGTAAGATTGTAATAATGGTTTTATTTTCTCTAGAACTTTATGATCAAATGAATGAACTAGAAGAACAAATACAGAAAACTTTGCCTAAGGTATGTATCCCTTTTAACTTTTCTATTTCTATCATAATCACACTTGGTTTTCTATTTTAAGTTTAATCCAACACTCTGCTCTTCAACTTTATGTGAACTGGATGATTTTAAAATCTGTTGGTTTGATGATTTAATTATAACTTATATTTGTGAAACTAGATGTTTTTCAAATGGAAAATATAAACTTTAAATCCATGGGGAATAAGTTTTAATAACAAGAGCAATGAACATATTACAGTAAATTCATTCTTTTCAAGGAGAAACCATTTTTGATGACCATGTGATATATGATTTATCCCACAGTCATGTTGCATGGAGTTGTGTACCACAACCACATTCCTATCGTGTATTGTAGGTGTTTTAAATAACTTTATGACACAAAATGAATAATGAAAGTAACTTCAAACATTGTTGCATGCTGCTCTGTCACTTGTGTGCTTTGAGATTGAAAACATTTGTTCTTAAAATTCTTAATACGTGGATTTAGATTGGGATTAACCCTATTGTCACAGGTCAAAGGTCATGTCATCGTGTTTGTTGACTTGCATTGAAAATTTTATTGAATGACTATTTTATGAATTCATGTGTATGAATTTGTTATCAAATTGTAGATTATAATTCAAATTTTAGTGTTATGCATTAGTTAACTTCTTAATTTAAAAGTAAACATTAAAAAATACACCCAAATATAGATTTTTGTGTGTCACGTGATATGTTGAATGCAGCACTGGTTCAAATTAGATGTTTGTGATGTCCAAATATAAAGTCTAAAGTTTCTTACGAATTAGGAATTCAAATTGCTGATATTGGCAAGCTAGAATATAAAATAAGAACCTCCTGCCTTTTCTATTTGCTGAGATATTGCTAGGTTTACTGAACCAAACACAGTGGGCCTTGCCCACCTCTTTCCATTTTTGGAAACACTTCCTTATGTACATGTACTTCTGTCTATGACATGTGAATAACCAATCGAAAACTCAGAATGTCCCCCTAGTGGCTTTCTCAGCAATTTTGAAGTATTAGGGTGTCAGTCTCGTTCTTGTGATAC